CTGGGAGCAGACTATCAGGAGGCAATAGCACCAGATTTAGAAATTCACATTGAACTGGTGAGGACAAAACTAAACATTGCTCCTTCAGGGCAGTGAACCACCCTATGCTCTGACTGAGGAATCAACCTGAAGAAAAAGGGCTGCACTAGGTGATATAATTAATGATGGATGTCCTGTCACATTACAGACAGGACTGATTTAGGATTTTCCTAATTACTTGCCATATTTCATTGAAATATTTTATTTTTTTGTTAGAATTCTTTTGGATTAATGACAGCAATCAGCAGCAGTGGGGCTCAGTTTGGCCCAGACTTTACTCAGAACTGTTCTCCAGGCCTGCCTTCTCCATCTTTTCTAGAAATCTTATTGCCATGTAACTTGCAACCAGCTTTTAGAAAATGTCAAATTACAGCCAGAACAGAGAGGAAGATATTGATCACACAGGATTTTCCTGAACTGACAACAGGATCCTTTGAATACATTGTATATGCTGCCACCCTGAAAGTCCTTAGCTTCACCTTACTGTTGGAATGTGTTGTTTTGCTATTTCACAGCATGGGGGGAACTCCATCTAAATACATCAGCTGTTTTTCTTTGAGAAATGTATGCTGTAATCATGTTATCAGTTTACTCATTTCTATAACAATTTTCTTTTTCATATCCTTTGCAATCTGATGTGACTGGATATGCTGCAAGAAAATCTTCCTCCTCAACTTGTCAGATTTGTTACAACACTTCAGGAAAGAAAAAAAAAATGGGAACCTTGCTCTGACTTGGTACTTCTGTAGACCTTTTTGCGATATGTATTTAGAAAAATAAATAAATAATAATAATAATAATAATAATAAATCACGTAAGGCTTTATCCTGCACCAATAAATTCACTGGAAATTTTCCCTTTGACTTGATCAGTTATAGAAATAGGCCATAGAAGAAAGGGAATGTGATTTGAAGATCTAGTTATGTACATAACTATCACTTCACCAGCTAAAAGTGTAATTCTGGGAGTAAAGAGGAAAAGAATAAATTACTGGATATACATAAACAGTTGGTAGCCTTGAGCTACAGAAATTAGACAGACAACTCTGAATTCCACTATAGGACCTTTGCCCAGAAGCTAAGCCATCCAGGTAGCCCATCTTTGTCCCACACCAGTCTTGTTCTCTGGGCACTTTGGAGCCAGTTGCAAATAGCCATTTGGAGAAGCAGACCTGCAGGCAAGTAGCTAATAAAGAGATGATGAGCCAGGCACTGACTATTTTAGTTCATTCGTACTTGGGTTTTGCTTGTCTTTCAACATATATAAAAAGATCTTTCTAATTACATCACCACAATCAAAAGAATAAAGTAAATTTAATCTCAGGAAACACTATAGCAAAAACCTTTCAAGGCTTTCCCAACCCCTTTCTGAAATGGCACCATTCAATCAATCAAAGCATGACTGTTACCAGCTAAAATAAAAGCCCTCCATTTTTTGCTCTCTGTAACAACAAAATACAGAAGCTTCATTATAAGAAAACTAACAAGCATGTGAGTCAAAAAAGGAAGTTGCTAGCTGAGACCAATACAGTGATTGCAGTGGGCTTCACTGAATAAGATACCACCCTCAGAGTGATCATGTGAGATAATTGGAAATTCTGAACCTGATATCGTAATTGATGGTTTTACACTTCACTCGAGCTATTCCTAATTTAAACCTGGGCAGACGCATACTCCTTAACTTTTCCCTTATCCTGAAACATCTGCTTCTAGCAAGATATTTATTGTCATTAGAATGGAAGTAGCTATATTCTAGCTTCTCATGCAAGCCTAGATATTCCTTTTCCTAGATGTCTACTCTCAGACATCTAAACGGTCTTCTGACATACATTAATCATTCAGGAAAAAGGAGTCAAAAAGGTCTGATTAATCCAGAATCTCAAAGCTGTCACATCAGAGAGACACATCATAATTTAGTAGATCTTTTTCTCGTGATGCTCCCTTGAGCTACATGATTTTCTTTAGAAGAATATGGTCTTATACAGAAATTCCTCTCTATTCCCAAAGTAATAATAATATAAATAATAGTAGCTTCAGATCCACTTCCATATTTCTTTCATGATTATTATAATGTTAATACATGTTTCCATGTGCTTGCCAAGCTGAGAGGCTAGAGTGTGTTATTAGAAGGTTTCACTTAATTGATTTTCCAATACGTAGCTAAATTCTCTGATGGCTCAAAGTAGCACAGCAGCACTGCATTTAACCAGTAAATATACAGGCATTTAGAGGATCAGCAAAGAGTATAGTGGTGAAATTCAGCTTTCAATTGCTATAAATTGAAAGAGATTTAATTGATTTCAGCTAATGTATTCTAGAGTTGCACATGTATGTTTGGGAGCCAAATTTGGGCCAAGGACAGTAAGGACTGCAGTCACAAAACACTTGTGTTAGAGAACTAGCATTTAAACTTGGAGGACTAGAGACAGGTAATAAGCAGACCATGTCAGACCATGGCAACATCAGTCTACGTAACTTACCTGCCAAAAAAAAATTAAAAATATAAATAAAATAAATAAAATAAAATAAAATAAAATAAAATAAAATAAAATAAAATAAAATAAAATAAAATAAAATAAAATAAAATAAAATAAAATAAAATAAAGACTACTGTGGGGTAAAAGATTGTTCCCATATGTAACTTGTTGAGCATTAGCTAGCATATATAACTGTTTACAGCACTTTGTGTTGTGACTAAAACATAGGTAAATTATACAACTCTGTAAAAACTGTTGCTTAACCAATTGCCTATTGCTGATAATATTTTTTCAACCTAATTACAAATATTTTTTACCAAAGCTCCATTTCTAGAAGATAGCTAAGTACTTTCCCATGGTGTCATTTACAAGACAGCATGAAAACAACAGCCTCCAGGTGCTATGAATTGCAAGCTGTTCCTTGTGAAAAGTACCATCAAGATTTCTTAATTTAGTTTTGGCAATCCCATATTTACCCATATTGTAAAGTGTGCTGAAAGAAAAATCTAAAAGGGCTTTTCTCAGTTTTCATGTAAGTGTTGCTATAAAGCTTGTGGGGTAATTTTTTTTCATTTATTTTCTTTGAAGTACTACCATTCTTTTACTACCATCTCTTTTCTTGAACATTGATGGTTCCTTGGTTGTGTTAAAACATCACCTGAAAGCAGAGAAGCGCCTTATAACTTTTAAAGGTACACACCAAATCTGTAAAACTTCTAAGACTGAGATATCCTGGCTTGAGGTTTTGAAAAGGTAGTGTAGAATAACTGTAGTGACGAGAGATAATCTTGTACTTGCAAAACATTTAAATGTCATTGTATAGATACAGATTTAGTGTTTAATGTGAAATGAAACCTTCTAAACAGATGTTCAGCTTTTGAGATCATGTCCTGCTCTGGTTTCTGTGTTTTTATGGTTTTTGGTTGGTTGGTTGGTTGTTGTTGTTTTGTTTGTTGGTTGGTTGTTTTTTTCCTTGGGCTACAATGGTGCAAGCAACAGTGAGCCATGCAGAATTACCATAAGCAAAACCATAAAAGTCCCTGTCCCAAGATCCCAATTTTAGGCCCACTCACTTTTGAGGAGACTGAAAGAGGATATTGGCAATCCCAGAAAACCCTGTGAAACCATCTGTCTTTGGGTCAGTACAAAGTGAGACTTTCTGGGAGCAGGGAGCGGAGGACAAGCTTGGAGCTACTGGTGACCCTAACACTGGCCATGCCCTCACCCAGGAGGCACCAGTCTGCAGTGGTGACAGAGAAAAGGTCCCATCAACAGTCCAGTGATCATCTAACAAGGGCAGGGGGATGAGTCAAGTCAGCCAAGGGATCAACCAGGGAAATCCAAACTGTTCAAGGACAGCAGAAAATGGCCACCTGCAACATAAGTTGGAAAAGGTTTGAGCACCCTGAGCTGGACTGAAATGGGGTCCTGAGCCATGGGCAGGGCAGGGGGAGACCCAGGGGAGGCTGGGTGTGAGCTGGAATAACGGTGTCCTCAGAGCCCATACATCAGCAAGAGTTGTGGATGTCTTGGACATGTTAACTATTTGCAACTGTGATTTTGTGAGTATTTTTGTGTTACTTGTGATAAATCCAGACTTTAGTCTTTCATTTCAGGTACAAGTATTATTTTTGCATATATAGCCTAAGCCCTACAAAAGTACCTCTCACAGGTATATATAACATATATTTTAACCTATGGATGGAACAAGGTAGAACAGACCCAGATTTAGTCCCTAAATTAAAAACACATCTCAAGTACACCTTGTAAATGCTCAGCCATCTGTAATGGTGACATCTTTTACATCTTAAATTTAGCATGTGAAATGAAAATGTCTCGATCACAAAAAGTTTGCTTCTAATAAATATAAAACTTTCCAGCGCCTCATGTCTCATAGGGCCATGACACCAGTAAAACCCAGTAAAAGCTTCCTCAAAAAGAGCTGTCAATGAGAGCCTTTTCATTCTTTTTTTCAATAATGTGCCCAGTTGAAACATCATTTCTGAAAAGTGCACTATTAGGAGGTTTGGTAAAGTTTCCAAGTCGCATTTCTGTGGGATGAGGAGGTCCAACATAATGACTATCTGAAGGAGAAAGCATGTCAAATGAGCTATGAATGCTGCTTCCTCTTCTGCTTTTCTTTGACCATTATTCATTTTTTCATTATAGAAAGTACTAGTAACTGCTTTGCTTTCAAAATTTGCTGCTCCATGGACCCAGAGATGAAAATCGCCTTTTTCTTTTCATACAGGGGAGGAAATCTCTTGGTGTCCCTGTTCTGGTGCTTTGTAGTTGTTCTGGAAAGCCCAGCTTCAGCTGAGAGGCTAGTTCAGTGTCCTCAGCCACCATGACCTGAGATGGCAGCTGCCATGCTCTCTCGTGTGCGAAGCACAGAGAAGCGGCTGCTCTAATTATGCCCTAACCACCCCGTGTCACCAATGGACATCTACAAATTAATTTATTTCCAGCACAAAAGTTCTCATACCTCTTGTCCTTAATCTGGTGCTGAACTTCTAATGACAGTATGTGGATTTTTGTGTATGACCTAAGGAGAGAAAAAGGTCTTGGTTATTTATTATTGCTTATACTTTTCTCCCAGGGGGAGCTATTGATATCCTTAGCTTTATTCAGCCTCTTTAAATAAGTATGACAAAAGGGTTCTGAGAGTCAAGCTGTGTTGATTCATCTGTAGCACTGTGGTTTCCCAGAAAAGGAACAGCAGGGGGATTATACATCCCAAGCTTCCCCAGCCTAGTACTGTATGCAAAACTTCCTCAGCAATTTTAACAAATACACAGTACTGTGGTCGAAACTGGTAAAGTCACCATCTAACACACCACCAGTTATGTTACTCTAGCTACCACAAGCAGGAGAAGAGGACAAAATAGAGAGAGCAGAGAGAAAGCATAGGCAGATAAAACTGTTACAGTTCAATTCAGGAGTAAGAAGTAAGATCCTGTACCCTTCCTAAATGAAATCTGAGATAATCAAGTGATTAACAGTCCTTTTTAGGAATCCTTGAGGTAAATAGCTTGGCTTTTTGTTAATAAACTAAACCTTTCCACAAGAACATTCAACTTTGGAAAATGGTTTGAGGTAAGAGCAAACAAGGCAGAAACTGAGCCATGGAGAATGTCTTGATCCCCACAGCATTTTGGCACATTGTTTCCTGAGGGTTAAAGACTCATACCAGGAGTGCACGATGGGCTTGTGAACTGGAAAGTGAAAGAAAGAAAGAAACTAGCAACTTTCATAGAAAGTTTTAATCTTAAAATAGAGTTGGTTTAAGTGAGCAGTATCCTGCAAAGAGTCTGTATGCTCATTTCTGCTCCTGAGACTTCTCTGCTGCCTGCCACTGGGAGATCTGTATGAACACGATTACTACAGGCTGTAATTTAAAACTCAGAACAATGCATTCACAAATCTGATGAATAACACAATGAGCATAAGCCATACTTGAGAGCGGCAGCAAATGCTGGAAAGCTGATGTGGCTACAAAAACTTTGTCTCATGACTGACCCAGATTGCTTTTACATGAGTCAACTGACCCCAGAGCGAGGGCCCGTGGAGGCTGGCCTTTTTGATTACCATTATTAGGGGCTTATTGCTTCTCAGGTTTCTCACTGCTAGGCTGCCATTCCAGAAAATGACCATGCCTCTTACAGAAGCATCCCCCAGGGATGGCCGGTGGTTCATTTTGAGTGCTGTGATAAAATTGTGCAGATGTCTTGCTTAGTAAATAAGCAGGTGCCTACACTTACAAGGCTGTCTAACATGATATTAAGAGAACCTTATATATATTTGTGATAAGGTTTTCACTGCCTATTGAGCATGTCTGCATCAGAACAGCAAGTCAGGTCCACATAACTGAATTGATGCAAAATGGCTGACATCAAAATAGAAGTACATTATACCAACCATAGGGCCTCAATTTATTCAGCGACATAGAAGCAACCCTTGCTACAAGCTAATGAAAAATATCATTTTAGAATACCTCTTCTAGTGCTAAATGCAAGTCCAAATGTACTCAAATACTACAGATCTTCAGACATCGAATTTCAGCCTGTACAATGAGGTTTGAGTTCTGAAACCAGTCTAGATCTGGGTTTGGGATTTAGATTTTAATCTGTCTTGATTTTGCCAACTTCATATCTAATTTTCTTTCCCTCCTCCATCAAGAATATCGTTCCTGTAATGTAAGGAGGAAAGTTTTCTTTGAAATTTTTGATGTTATTTCAGTAGCTCTTGGCTGCTGTGATGTGTAAGGCTGCATTTTAAACTGTTTCAATTTCTATAAGTACCTAAGCAGTTCTCCTACTCTTCTTTTTAAAATAAGTTAAACACAAGCTATTTCTCACTTGCAAAGTAGTATACTGCAGGTGAAGAGTGAGCTGGAAGGAGGGACTGGAATCCAGAAATGAAATGCTTTTTCAGATTTCTTTTCCTCTCCAGAACAGGGACACTATGAAATAAACCTTTAATCTGAGTAATTTGTATGTCAATTTATACCACCTTTGGCTTTGATCTTTCAGTGCTACCACAGTGCAAATTTTCCCTTATATTAAAAATTTGGAAAATCCCCTGGTTATAACATCTGCTCTTTCTCACTTCCCATTGTGCTAGAACCATTTTTTTTTTTTTCTGAAATAGTTGCCTTTTTTGTGGTTCCTTTGAGAAGTGTAGCCCAACATTTCCTATTGAACTTTCATTTCATTGTGTATTTAGACAACTAAATACCACTGTCTCAAGTGTTTTCTTCTTGTTATATTGCAACAAGTCACACTGCAGAGATCTTATGAAGTTCAAAAAATTTGAGTATTCATTCAAAAAATGCAAGGGTGCATGACTTTTAAGTGCCTGCTAAAGTCTCATTAAGTTCATGCCTGAAGTAAAATCCACCTAAATATTTTGCTGAATAGAGTCCCTTTGGGTCTAATCCAACACACATTGAAAGCAGTTACAAAATTCCCATTGACTTCAGTGGGCTCCCAGCCTATTCCTGGGAGGTATTGAGTGTGTAAAGTTCAGTGCTTCTCCTGCCAACCTTCTGTTCTTGCTCTGACATGTGTTCTTTCATTCTTTACACTGTCTCCTCCCACCAAAAAAATATAAAACTTTTAAGGCATCCCCAAAAGTCCAGAAGAGTTTTTCACCGCTGTATTAAATGCACTCTTGTCAAAACTGAGGCATTTCAAAAACATTCATTTCCTCCTACAAGTAACATCAAAACAAATAGTTTGAGGTCTAATATCTAACTGTAGGGATGATATATGTCATTGCAGCTTTATCATTTTGAGGTTTGTGTTTCTATTTTTACACAAATATTTAGAACATTCATTACGAATCTTATATATATATATATAAACACAAAATACACACACACAATTGTACATATTTACAGTCTAAATCTAGTGATTTAAATAGCAAACTTTTTTTGTTTTTCAGAATTACAACTTTCAGAAGTTTTGGTTAAGTGGGAAATTTTAAAATAGAAACACTTTCAATTCAGAGTAAAACTAAGCTTCTAAGTATTCTGTTTTCCATTGAAGAAAGTTCCATTTCTTTCTGTTGACATCTTCTAAAATATTCCAGATTACATAGAGTTTTATACTTATTTCTCCCTTAAGTCTTTTACTAGCAAGTGGGGCAATCCATGCTAGATCAGTCAATACAAACACGCATAGCACTTTCACTCCAGCTTGCCTGTTTGAAGCAACTTAGAAACGTTAATAAATTCCTCCTCAAATAATCTTGCAGTTAAATGAGTGGTATTTCTGGGACTTAATATACAATGTGACAAGTTAAGCTAAATTCTGCAGAGAAGAGCTCTGGTTTCTGTGTTAATTTAGTGACAGCTTCATTACATTCAAAAATTGAGAGTCAAATCTTCAGAAGGTTTAAGACTGCCAAAGCTCTGAAGTCTAATGAGCTATACTGGTTCTATGCAGCTGGGGATGTGTTTGGTTGAATATAAAATTGGATAATAGGAATTGAGTAAGAAGGAACCTGTTTTACCAAGATATAATATTCAATTTATTTTGTGCAGTCCCTGAACTTTCAAAAAGCCTCTTTACTTTTTTTCCTGTCTTCTCACTGAAGCTGTTAGGAGGATGCTTGAGAGTTAGATGATGGAGATGGGGAGTTGGCACCCAGGAAGGCATAGTAGGATAGTCCAATAGTTTGAGTCATAGGATATACCTGTTAGAGAGATCAGGACAAATTTTAATCACAGTTTAAATTTATCACTTAGAGATTTCACAGTTGGCAGACCGTCAAGAGTGCTCACAGCATGCCATATCTTTCATATCCAGGCACAGACTTACCAGAGGGAATAAGGGGCCTGTTGACCCCATCTGCAGAAACTATTGAGGGCAAGCATGAAGCAAGCATGAAGACAGTACTAAAGCTACTGCCCATGGCTGCCATAGCCCTACTGTTCCCAAGCTTATACCAAAAAGCCACATACCTTGAGGGCAGGGTGTTGCTCCTGCTGGATCCATGCCTATAGAAGCCAGTATTAGCCACTAGGGCAGTCCTGGTTTGTCAAAGAGCTTGACATCCAAACACCATTTCTCCTGAAATACCTTGGCTCTCCAGTACACCCTGTTCTTACCCTGCCACTCATACAAGGGAGGGATTCAGATATTTCTTACCAGTTGTTTCTATGAGAAGCCTTCCCCACATATTTACAAGTGCAGCTGTGAATGACTGTTTATTTCAAGTGATCACTGAGTTATGAAATGTTCTCCACACCTGAAATATTGCATGAAGCCCAGTAGCAACAGGGGAAGAGGAAGGGGAAAGGGAAGGGGAAGGGGAAGGGGAAGGGGAAAGAAGGGGAAGGGAAGGGGAAGAAGGGGAAGGGGAAGGGGAAAAAGGGGAAGGGGAAGGGGAAAAAGGGGAAGGGGAAAAAGGGGAAGGGGAAGGGGAAGGGGAAGGGGAAGGGGAAGGGGAAGGGGAAGGGGAAGGGGAAGGGGAAGGGGAAGGGGAAGGGGAAGGGGAAGGGGAAGGGGAAGGGGAAGGGGAAGGGGAAGGGGAAGGGGAAGGGGAAGGGGAAGGGGGGGAAGGGGAAGGGGAAAAAGGGGAGGGGGAGGGGAGGGGGAGGGGGAGGGGGAGGGAGAGGGGAAGGGAAGGGAAGGGAAGGGAAGGGAAGGGAAGGGAAGGGAAGGGAAGGGAAGGGAAGGGAAGGGAAGGGAAGGGAAGGGAAGGGAAGGGAAGGGAAGGGAAGGGAAGGGAAGGGAAGGGAAGGGAAGGGAAGGGAAGGGAAGGGAAGGGAAGGGAAGGGAAGGGAAGGGAAGGGAAGGGAAGGGAAGGGAAGGGAAGGGAAGGGAAGGGAAGGGAAGGGAAGGGAAGGAAGGGAAGGGAAGGGAAGGGAAGGGAAGGGAAGGGAAGGGAAGGGAAGCTGCAGAGGAAAAAAGGAGATGGTAGACTTAGAGCACATCGTCAGCATCCACCAGCAGACGACTATAGAAATCTTACATAACAAGAAGTGCCAAAAATTTCTCAGTCTACAAGTGGGAAGACAATATGGATACGAGAAAGCCA